TGGACAGGTCCTGATGATCCATCAGGGAGTAAGATCTTTCTGTGGTTTTAAACTCATTGCAGATTCACAGGTGACACACCAGGAATAACCCAAAGCTTCTGCTGAACTAATCTAATTTTTCTGGTCTCTCCTTCAGACCAGTTATACTTTCAGTCTCATGATAACAAATGCCCCAGTTTCACTGTGTGGTGGATTGGATCCTGGTAAGGTTTCCCACAATACCTCCACAATCTCATGACAGGAGAAGCAGGGAATACTCACCCTGTGTTCATGGATACCACAGAAACTTGCTGCTTTCTGTGCTAGCAGTGCCCAGCCCTGGATGGGCTGGCTTGCATGAGCCAGCAACATTCAGACTCCTAAGGCCTGAAAAACTGGCTGGAAGTCTATGTGGCAACACATTATCTCACAAGATTTATGGTCCATCCTGCTCCAGGCAAAGTCAGAAATACCACCACAGTGATTGCTCCAGATATTACTGCATTTTTATGCTACTGCTCTGACATTCACCCAGAGGGAGAAATGAGGGTGGGAACATTTATACTTTCACCCCCAGCTCCAGCAACGAGCTGTTTTGTGTGTGGGTATTTGGGGAGGAGGAGAGCAGGCTCCTGTTACTTCCCAATTTGCAATTCTGGATGGAAAATAGACTAATGTTGTGCTCAAGGATAAATACCTGCACAAGACCAGGTGGGGGATTTTAGTCTTCTACATCCTGATTGGACACAGAAGACTAAACTCATGGGACTAGACAATTGGGAAAGGCAAGACCTCTCCTCAGTGCCCGGCCCCATATGTTGATGGGGAGGTAAGCAGTGAGGGGAGCAAATACCCCAGGGATCAGAACATTGAAGCTTGTCAGAAATGCAAAGGGAGGATGGGCTGAAGTCCCTGCTGAGGGCTCTCCTGTCTGGGCTGGCTGCAGTGAGGTTGTGCAGTGAGGGCACAGCTCCTCAGCACCACAGATCCCAACTGGTTTGCAGGCAGGATGACCTGCTTGCTGCATGGCTGTGAAACCAGAGCACCCCCTCTTTGGGAGAGCTCTGTTTCCCCAGGTCTCATGTGGGAGGTGAGGACAGGTCTCCCAAGCTTTTCTGCTAAAGATGACCCACATCACACAAACAATTGCACAACTTTGTGCAGGTGAAGGGAGGGGAGAAGATGACTTGGAGAAGGCTGCAGCCATGCCCAGCCCCTCTTCTAAGTTCGTTACGGTGGTGGAGACCCAGAAAGACAGAGAGACTCATCTGTGATCAGGAACAGATGCTGACAAAAAGGCATCTTTGAATAACCACAAACAAAACACTGTGCTAGCAAAAACTATTTTAAGATAGCAACCTACATCCTAGCCAGACTCCTCACCCCTACACTCCCCATACACCACAGCGAGCTGTCTGCTGGCTGTGGAAGCAGAGCAGCCTGATTTGTGGTTTTCCAGGCAGTCCTGAAGTCCTGGGACCATTTGGAAGGCAGAAGATGGTGGAGGAGGAGCTATGCCCCTCACTGATTACAGGGGAGCTGCAGGATGGTGTCTGTGCTACTGTGTGTCCCTCTCTGCATGGTGGGGGGTCAAAGTCATCAGAAACAGAGGTCAAGCTGTCACTCCTGTGTTTGCCATTGCCACCCTCACTGCTGGCAGAGGTGATGCTGAGCCTGCTCCAGGCAGTCTGTCTGGCTGACAGAGTACAGCATGTGCCACCCCCTCTGGCTGCCAAAATGAGGGCACATTCACAGCATCCCTTTCACCCACCACCCAGTGAGGGTCGTGATGCTCAGGTGACAGGTGGTGACAAGCAGGGGGTGGCACTGCCAACGCTACCTGCCACCTGTGTGACAGGTGCCCAGGCTGCTCCTGGCCCTGGCATCCATCTCCTGCTTCTTGCACTCATGCACAGTGAGGAGGAACTCACTGCTTGCTGCTTTGGTGGTACCAGGCCAGCACTTCATCTTGCATGGGGAAGTACCAGTTTAAGTCTGCAGCACCCCAAGGCTGCATGGCAAGACCTACACTGCTGTTTGGAAAGAGGGAAGAGAAACCAGTGCAGTGCTCCCGAGCAGTATCTCCCCAGGGAGGTGCTATCAGAACTTCTGTGAGTTACGCTTATGATTCCCTTCTTGTTTTCTGGGAAGATACTTTCTTTTCAGAGCCACAGTCCCTGCATGCCAGCAGCTGCACATAGGCTTTGCAGCAAGGCCCCCTGGCTTCAATCCAGTCTCAGAACAGACAGGGATTTGACTTTGTAGCTTGGCAACTGAGCCACTCTTATGTTTAATTGAGGATCTATTTAATTGTTATATTTAATTCAGCCAGGGAAGACACCCTGTGCTCAGCTGTTTAACACTCCCTGAACAGGAGTAGTCCTTTCCTCTTTTCTGCTTCCAGAGCAGTCCTGTTTCCAAACTGCCAGCCCAGGGCTGTGAGTCTCAGCCAGACTCACAGAGCTGAGACCTGAGAGGGAGCCTGGGCCAGACCTCTGCCAGGATATGGGAGCTGGGGCGTGGGCTTGGGATTACCCCTCCTGAAGGTGTGTGAATTCCTGGCTGTGAAATGTTCTTCTGTTCAGCTGGGAAATCCCTGTGCCTCACCCAGATAATGTGGCAGTATGGGGTCCCTAAATGCTGGTCTCAAATGCAGCACTCACCATCCTCATCATTAGCAGCAAAAAGTTCTGAAGTGGGTAGGACTTCATGATTTCCACATTGAGACTCAGAACAAGATGTAACAGCTGTAGTTAAAATTACCCCATCTCTGCTACCTCCTACCACCCAAGGGAAAGTTATTTATAACTCCAGGTTGCCCAAGGGATGCTGCATAGTGGGATCTGTTGCATCATCACCAAGGGTCTTTGCTTGGCAAGAGATTTGGGGGGAGAGAGCCCTTCCTCCAGCCAGCTGGGATCAGACTGGAGCCCAGGGGTGTGCATTCATGCAACTGACTCCTCCAGGCTCCCCAGATCCTCCTGAGGGAGCAGAAGCTCTCCCACTGAGGCAGCTCTGGGGTGCAGAGGAGCAGGTGCCCAGCCAAGTCCTCTTGCTATGCCTTTGTACTTTTCAGTCTTCAAATAAACTTGGGCTGAAGCTATTCCAGGAGCCACAGTGACACCACGCAGGCAAGACCTAGAGTGCACCGAGTCGAAAGGACAGTCATGCAAAACCAGAGGGGATTAGCTTTTAATGCGCTTCTCAGGGCAAACCCTGAAATCGTGGGATTGCCAAGATCCCAGCACAAAAGCTAACCAGCTTTCTGCCCTCCTGACCACAAATCCACCACCAAACTCTCCCGGTGTCAGGACAACTCACACGGAAGCATTGGAGCAGCTGTTCATGCACAGGAGTGCCCGAGCCATCGCCTCCCCTTTGTGCCCTGTGCCTCCCTGCCAGGCAGCAGCACTGTCACAGCTCCCTGGGGCACCTCATGCGAGAGCTCAGCAGCCTCCAGAAGAGATGCCATAGAGACATGAGCACAGTTATCCCTGCTCAGCTTTATCTTTCCAACTGGGAATGAACACAGCATGGTTCAACGCCTGCCTGTGTTTGTTCTCAGGGGTCTCTGAGCTAAACTGAGATAACTTGGCCATGCACCTGATTTTCTCCATGTCTGACTTCATTGATGTCCGCACTAAAACCCAGCAGTAAAACTGGGAGCTAGTATCCCAGGTGGAACTACAGGATTTTTTGTGTTACTTAGCATCTTGGGGCTACATTTTTAGACTACAAGAACTTTCCTTGTAAAGACTTTTCTCTCTCTGCTGTGTCATCTGCAGCAGACATTGCTATCCAGGTGTTTTTCTCTGCCTTGCAAGTCATTCCTTGTGCCTGCTGGGTCTCTTGTGGCTCATACTCTTAGGTTTTGTCCTGGAGAAAAGTCACGTATTGGAAAACAAGGCAATACGCCCTGTACCACAAGATGCAGCTACCACTGCTGGGACTCAGGAGAAAACCAAGAATGTTGGAAACCAGCAAGTCTCTCCCAGGGTTTGATTTGGGATCTGTCAGTGAGCTGTCGTGCCTGCTCTGCTGAATCACTGCCACAACCCTCCCCTCTTCAGAGCTCAGTTTCCCTTCCTGATCCCTTCGGAATAATCCATAATAATCCTTTGTAATCTGCAAGAGTCTGCTACAAATGCAGGTTTAAGAGCTGTGAATATGCAGAGTCCAGAGGTTAGGCATATCTGTCACGAGAAGCAGGATACATCTGACACTCCTGTAGGACTCTTGCACTATCCAGCAGGGACATGGAACATCCAAGACTGCAAATGAGTCTCTGAATGTCATGTGTGTGTGTAACAAGCATGAACCTACCATTACAGAATATGAGCTTTCACCCTAGATATTTAAAAAACAAAGAGAAGGAGCCTCTGAATGTTGTTACCATTCATGTATACATTTATTAAGCCAAAGGAGTTTGATCATGTCACGGTATGTTACTAGAGCACGTGAGATCTTTTAACTTCACAAACAATGGTTATTTTAGTGACTTTTTATTTTTGCCTTTTGAGCTTAAAAAAATTTCCTCTTTCTGCACTCCCCATGAAAGGCTCTTTTATGATTTTTTTCTTTTCTTTCTAAAAGTACAAAACAATGTTTCTCAGACATGTAAACAACCATCATGGAAATGAAACTACTCCTAAAGATCACTTTATTGTTATGGACGTTCTGATAGATTTATGACATGTTGGATGTATTTCAGCTCAGTGACTCCTTCAATGGAAGTTATAGCTGTTATCATCACCTGCACTGCAGTAATGCCTAGAGGCCCTGGTCAGGTTAAGCCCCTTCTGTGCAAGGTGCTGTACAAATACTTGGGTGTAAGTCTGAGGTCCCTGCTAAAGGGCATTCACTGATGTGACTATAACCCTCTCTGCTTCCCTCTGCTCCGCAGTGATACTCACAAATTACAGGAGCTTGAGTCAAACTTTTTTCCAAACTAAGTCTGGAGTTGATGTTCAGTTACAGTTGAGGAGAAATGTTACTACAGGTCAATCCTGACACCTGCAGTCCTGTGCGTAAAGCTGCTCACACTCATGGGAATGCTCATATGGGTAAGAAACTCCTGTGGGAAAGGTCTGCAGGGCTGAATCCCTGGATCACTGAACTCCTTTGCAAGAAAGCATGCAAGAAAAGCAGACTGGTTCCTTTTCTCTAATGCTTCATCAGTATAGCTCTAAGAGAGAAAGGGACAGGGTCAGTTGCTCAGTTTCAGCACCTTGAGCATTTTGAGTTCTGATACCCAAATTAAAGAAGTCTCTGCTCTGCCTTGGGCTACTGTGACCAGGCCTGGAAAAGCCAGTTGGACATTCTTTGTCCTGAGGAAGCGGTGGTTTGCCATTACAGCATGGAGGGACTCTGTTTTATGGTGTGAAGGCTGCATCTTAGGCAGGAATTGTGAAGATTGTGTTCGGCCATCAGCTGAAATTATTCTGAAAACACTTCAGAGCAATTACAGTTTAAATAATGATTAAAACTTCATATTTGAGGTTGAAAAAAAAAAGAAAGGATTACATGAAATAAATAGCAAAGAATCAATGTCCCTGCACAAACATAACATATTCCTGCCTATGATGCATCCCTTGCAAATTACTGCCCTTTAGGTTATGTCAGATATTTAAATGAACCCTTTAGAGCTAAAATACAGTACTCTGAAATGAGGTTAGAAAATTTTCAAAAGGACTAATGGGAAGTGTGTACAAAGCTCTCTTTAAAACAAGTTTCCCACCTGGGCAGCCTAAGTGTGAGGCCTCAGTAGACGTAGAGCCGATCTGCGATGGCCGCGGGCATGTGCGTCATGATCTGCATGCGCAGCCACCAGTAGTAATCCATGGGGTGGTAGCGGGTGTAGGGGGCGGTGGCGGTGAGCGCGTGGGCCACGCTCTCGATGACGGGCGAGGTGTCCTTCGAGCCGCTGTTGCAGTACGTCTCCATCTTGCTGACCTGCTCGTCGAAGTACTTCCTGCCATAGTCCTTGCGCACGATCTCCGGCAGCTCGTCCCACATTTTGTCGGCGATGGCTTTGATGCGCTCGGGGCTGTAGAGGTTGGTGCCAGCGATGAAGTTTCCTGGCTCCACAATGCTGACCATCACTCCCTGGGGCTGCATCTCGTACCGCAGGCAGTCGGAGAAGGCTTCCACGCCAAACTTGGTGATGCAGTAGGGTGACCGGGCAGGGCTGCCCATCCGACCCATCATGCTACTGATGTTCACCACACGACCTAGGCAGAGGCCAGGCAGAGCACAGCTGATGGGACCTGATCCAGAGCCGATACCTGGCACACACCACCCAGCAGATTCCTGAACACGCATCCACCCGCCCACTGCACAGGCCTGAGGGCTCCTGGCAGACCTGCCCAGGGCTCTACCTGAGCCCTGCTGTCCTATGCGATGGCCTTCAGGCAGGAAAACAAGCTCATTGCTTCTGCTCCTTGGCTCATTATAGCTGAGCTAACAGGCACATGGTGACACACAATGCTCAGTGCTATGGGGATCACAGAAGAGGCTGGAGAGAGCATGCATGATGGGAAACAGGATTGCTCAGCATCACTTTGGACTGAGCCCAGACAGGAGGAAACAGGAGCCAGGAAAGCCTCTGGCACCAAAACTGAGCTTGTTAACTTGCAAATCAAAGGCACAAAATCCAGAAGCCCAATGGTGGCTCATCACATCTGCTTCTTAGAAGGGAAAGGATTGCTCCTGCACCACAAACAGGCAGAGCAGTCTAAGTCCACTGCACCCTTTTCTGTGTGACAGCTGGATCATGGCTCCAGACAGAGCTGGGACCTTTCTCCTCTCCAGAAGCTATCCAATTTGGCTGGGGGGAATGCTGGTAGGAGGCTGTGGATGCTGCAGTCTGAGCAGAGGTTGCAGTTCTCTGCACTTTCTATCACTGCTCATTGCTAAGTTGTGTTAGAAAGAGAAACTTTGAGCACAGATGTGGATACCCTTCCACGGTGCTTGGGCCACATGTGCAGCACAGGACAACATTGTTAGTGCCTGTGGATGCCTCAAGAGCAAAAAATATTCTCATTTAGTCGGGTGGCTGGCCACAGTACAGAAAAGCTTTTGCCCCTTTATGCTGAGACCCATGCAAGCTCCAGCTCTGCGTGCCTTTGTACACAAACCTCACCTCTCCTACACTACAGGCTCCCAAGTGACCTTCTGGCCTCTAACACAGCACGTGGCAGGACGAGGGACCTGCCACAGGGAGAGCCAGTCAGGAGGAGATTACTCACCCTTTGACCTCCGGATGAGCGGCAGGAAAGCTTTGGTGGTTCGCACAGTCCCCCACAGGTTCACCTCAGCCACCTCCATGTAGGTGTCCATGCTAGTGAACTCGACTTCCCCGAACGTGGAGATCCCAGCATTGTTAACCAGCCCCCAGAGCCCTACAAGACAAAATCAAGCACTTCCCTGAGACTAGTGAGAGCAGCTTGGTAAAAGCCTTGCTAACACATAATTGAACCACACAGCAGAGCTTTTCATCATGACTTGTAATGATGGAAGCCAGATAGGAGAGAGTCCAGAGCAAACTTCAGTCTCCTGAGCAAATACAACCACAATTGGGATCTGCCTGTACCACCCAACACTGCAGCTACAAAGTGCTGTGAATAAAGCTTCCTGGGAAGTTCTGAGCCAGCAAACACAGAACTTCAGCCCTGCCTAAGCAGTTTTCCTTGCCACTCTCTTTTTATCCATCGTGATTTCTTAAAAGAAACAAAATATAATCTCTAAATGCAAATAATAAGAATAGGAATGACCTTGTAAGAAACAGAAGAGCAATTCTTTCAAAGTAAAATTCCTTCTGTCACCATAAGAACCAGAATGTCTGGAGTGCTGGGAAGGAGGATATAGGCATGGGTGGGCATGTATGTCATGGCCTCTCCCTTTCATTCTGCTGCAACCAAGATGGCAAAAACTGAAGCTACCTACTTACTTGGCAATGAAAAGAAAGACCAAAAAGGAATTTGGAACAAAATGAACTCACTTCATGTAATATTCTAATTGTATGGGAAACAAACTTCATCCTGGCCCATGCTTGAGCATACAGGGCTGGAAAACTTAATTTATATAGAAGATCCATATATAAAAATTAAATATAAAGAAAAAAAAGACACAGGTTTATGCAAAATCCAAAATAAAACATTACTGTTTTACTTTTAAACAGCCTTGTGCTGAATGTGGATGTTCTTTAGGGCAAAATTCTTCTTCACCAAAGGGTGGGAAGGTTTCAGAAATGTCTGAGCAACAGGGATTTTCACAGTACCAGAGTAGATTTTGCTGTCATCACCTCAGCAGAATGAAGTAGGCTGGCTAAGAGAGTCAGTTAGAGATACCCCCTGAACTGTGAAAGCTGCAATAAATGACAGTATCTGCAATAGCATTAATGACACTCAGCAGGCTTCGTGGAAAATCCTTTGGAAAACCTCCATTTCCTTTGCCTTTTGAAAGTATGGGGGAGACATTTCCATTGTTAATCCCCAGTCTTTGAGCACTGGGCAGGTTTCAGGACATAAAGGGACTCACAATAAACTTCAGTTCACAGGAACAAAGCACTAATCCCAGAGCCTTGAACACCACTCTGGTTTCTTCTAATGTCCATACAGGAGCTAGTGGAGAACAAAGCAGTTCCCTTTGTGGATGCTGTCTGAAGTGGGGAAGCTGCTTTCTGATATGGCACAATACTCAAACAGATCATTTGCTCTGCACTGCTGCTCCTCAAAGATTTGTGCCCTTCAATCCTGTGCTCCACTTTTGAAATATGTCCTGACAATGCTCTCAGAGCCCAACCAAGGGAGGTCCTGCCAGCTCCATGACCCCAGAGCTCACTGCAGGCACCCACCTTTCTCTGGGTCCTCCAGGCTGCTGTTCACGTGCTCCACTGCTCGGTCCACTTCTTTGCTGTCACAGACGTTGAGCTGAACGGTTCTCATTCGATCACTCTTCATGTCATCCAGCTCCTTGGAGCCACCCTCTCCCTTGTCCTAGAGGGGAAGAAAGTGCTGGTTTGAATCTGGCCAAAGAGCCCGTGCAGAATCTCAAATGCATAGCAACCATCGAATCAAGCAAAGGAGTGCACAGGGCAGTCACAGAACAATCAGGACAGTCCTGCAGCTCTAAGAGGAAGGGGAGCAGACTAGGCTGCTCCTGCAGAACACCATTCCTCACACATCTCCATCTGACCATGAGCCCTGCACCAACTCAGCTGGTACAAACTGCTTTGATCGCCAGGAAAGCAGACAGAGCTGGATCTGCCCCAACAAGGCACCCAACAAGCTCCCCCTGTCCAGCACAAACTCCTGAGGTCAAGCTATGCCCCAATGCCACAGCAGTGGGAATGTGGTGCTGTCCTCACCTTGGCTTGACATGGGGCACAGCAACTCCTTTGGCAGGGGCATGTTATAAAGTAGGCAGTGAGTGGCTGCACACGTACACTGCATGTGCTTCTGTCAGCTCCCCACTGCTCCTCCCTTCAGCTATCTGCCCTCAAACCTAACTACTGCCCCTAGTGCTCCTACAGAGTCCAACTGAGTGCCTAGCCAGCCTGCCTGCTAGCAATTCCCACCAGCATCTTTTCCAGCTTCTTGCTCTCGTCTCTGTCTACCCACATGAGCTTTTTCTCTGTCCCATTTCCCATCTCCAGTCCCTTTCTTCCTCATCTCAGAACAAGTTTCCCCCAGCATACACATATTCCCTCACAGCCTAGTGAATTAACTGCTGCCAGCCCCTGAGATACTTTCGTATGGGTCAGACACTGCTGGCAACAAGGCTGCCATGCCCAGAGCTCATCCCTGCACAGTGGTGAAGTCTGGCTGTGGTGCTTCCAGGACACAGACATGGGATATTGACTTTGGCACTGTCCCTGAATGGTTATAAGCTAATGAACTGTGCTGGCCACTCCAGAGTACTTCTGTAGAGGATGGTGAGGTCTAGCTCTGAAAGGAAGTTTTTGGGAACATCCCTGTCTTTACTGTAAGAAACTCCCTTTTCTCCCTCAACATCATCCCTCACTAGAAGTCTTTTACTCCCTATTAGCAGGCTACACATGGAGCATGTTCCACAGGATCATTTTACAGCTGCTCAGCTCTTCTTCCCCCACCGTTCAGCCCCCCAGGAAGCCATACTTGCTGTGTCAGCATTGGCAGGCAAGCATCAGAGTGCTATTCACTCCTGACAGATAAGAGTTTTTGGATAGCTAGCTTTTTTTTTTTCCTCTGGCCTGCAACAGGCCAGTTCTTCAAAGCAGGCCTGTTTCCCAAGTGCTGAATGACATTAGATTGCTGGAAACACCTCCAGCCACAGGTACTCCCTGTCAGAGATGCCAGTGAGTAGCTGTCAATGAGATGGTGCTCATCTGCAGTCTGAACCCAGGCTGTCCATCTGCCCCCAAGCAAAAGTTCTCTTCAAACACCTACTTTAGATACCACGTGAGGGCAGCCACACATCCCCATCTCTGTGCCACCTGTCTTCCAAAAATCCTCCTCCTGGCTCCTCTCACTCCTGGGCTTATCCACTGTGCTTCCAGACAGTTCATAATTTAACTACGTGACATCCCCTCTGTATTCTCCTCCACCCTTCCTTATTCCACTGCAGACTGTTAATAATATCAGTTAGTCTTTGTCCTACTGCCCTCTCTTCCTATGCAAACATACTGCCTACAAAAAGGAGTGGTTGAAAGTCCCATGCAAGTTTAGTGGCAGTGTTAGAGTGACTGAGAAGAGAGTTTCGTGCTAAGTTTGCTGCTCACTCCAAAGCACTGTGGTGCCAAAGCCAGTCTATATGGCAAAGCATCGGAAAACATACAAGTGGCACATGTGGGAATGCCAACAAGGAATCAGCAAGTGCGAGCATGCAGTCCCTGGAAAATGGCAGATATGGCTAAATGGAAGAAGGGATATGAGGCCAACGTCCCTGATTCCAGTTCTGTGAGGTGCTACAAAATCCCTGGGCCACACCACCCTCCAAGGCCTCACAAGCTCTGCTGGGACCTCCATAGCATCTTCTTCCTCCTCCCTTACAGGGTTGGCTCAGCAAGCCAACATCCCTCCTGCCCTCCCACCTACACACAGCGGCGTGCTTGGACAGGGACTCCTGGGGCTGGGATCCTGGCCAAAGAGTTGGGCTCTGGGCATTAACCCAGGCCCACAAGGCCATTCCCTTCGCTCATCAGAAAGGGCAGACGAGAGGTATTTAGGTCACGCACCTAGTGACTGTGCCATGGTCTCCTGGCACGGGATGCAGCCTGTCCCACAAGCCCTGGGCCCATATGCAGCAGTGAAAGGACCTTCTCATGCTACACCATGATACCAGTACATCTCTGCTGTCAGCCCCAGGGCACACTGACCCCATGGCAAGAGAACCCAGTTCTTGCATACTGAAAAAGAACACCTCTGCCTCATCTTTCTCTTTCCATGGTCGCTCTCTGGGGCTTATGGACTTCAGATTGTATCTTTATCAGTGTGTCCTTGAAGTGGTGTGTAACACCCTGCTGAGCCCTGCTTGCCCAGAGAACCTCTGCCTTCTCATTCCCCTGCAAGCTGCAATAGGCCTGAGCACACAAAGCAAAGCAAACAGGGGCTCCACCACACTCCTGACAGCCGAGACAAACACCACATATGCCCACTGGTAACAGATACTGATGGAAAAATACCTTCTTCATCTTGTGTCAGCTGGCTTCTCCACATACTAACCAAAGAGGAAAAAACAAGACAGCTGCAGCGTGAGCGGTCACTGGATCCAGTCTACCACTGTCTTTTGGCAATGCAGCATCAACACAACTCTCACGAGTACCTTTGCCACTGAAAATGTTAGGAAGTAATTGTGTGTGAAATAGCACACTGTTAGCACAGATCCATCCTTGGGGTCCCCTCAGACATGACTCTGAACTACTTGCTCATGTTTCCTTCAGTAATATTACAGTCAGGTGCTCAGGATCTGGCCACTCCAAGAAACCTTTCCTGATGAAAAGTCAGCACTGCAAATATTTTAAATCTGCAATGAGATTGCAGATAACCTGCAGAACCCTGCAAGCCCTGAGGACACAATGGCTCCCCGAGCTGTAGTATGCTTCTGATGTGCAGGTGTGCTGTGAAAAACAAACCCAGGAAAGCAACACTGAAGTTTCATAGTCATTTCCTCTATCTCAGGGCTAGGTCAAATATAACCAAGCTTAGGACGATGCTTATTTCTACCTCTGCTTCCACGTAGTGTCTAAATCCATAAAAGGCTTTTTCTGGTGCTAAAATCAGCATCAGCAATAATTACACTTGGATCAGAATTCTGCTTATGGTTTTGCTGTGAAACTTGTGGCAACAATGAGAAATCAGCTCAGTCTCCTGGAGTTGTTTTCATTCTACAGAAAGTATATGGCCTGAACACAAACAAGAGGCCAAGCAGCTAACTAAGAAGCTTTGCCATTTTACAGCATTTTTCTGATGACAGCTGCTGTTACCAGTCTTGCCATGGACATAGATTTTGGAACATGGGATGTGAGTCCAGCTAAAGAAGCAATTTAATGTAATTACACAGTGATACTGCAAAGCTTTCTGCTGATTTTTTTTTGTGAGGAAGTAAATATTGAACCAAGCTTAAAAGGGATGCTGCTGCATGTCAATTTATGCTAAAATTGTCAGAGGCCAAGATTTTCCACTACATGCATTCAGTAGAACAAGTACTGAAGACAGCAAAATGGAAGGGAGGTTTAAGTGACAGTTAGATATACCCACTGAAAATTGGGTCTTTCTAGCAGCTCAGACAGAGGAAGTGAAACCCAGAAGTAACTATGCACCCCTGACATTTTTGGCTCCTGTCAACATAGAAGTAGGCTGTTATTCCACATGGTGGTCTTTAAGTCTGCAATGTTCTTATATTCTCTAGTGTTGATCCTCAGTCATGAAAGCTGAGTAGAAACAGCTCCAGGCTGGGGACAGAGTGGCTGGAGAGCAGCCAGGTAGAAAAGGACCTGGGAGTTTGGATAGACAGGAAACTGAACATGAGCCAGCAGTGTGCTCAGGTGGCCAAGAAGGCCAGTGGCATCCTGGCCTAGATCAGGAACAGCGTGGTCAGCAGGACCAGGGAGGTGATTCTGCCCATGGACTTGGCACTGGTAAGGCCACAGCTTGAGCACTGTGTCCAGTTTTGTGCCACTCAGGTCAGGAGGGATATTGAGGTGCTGGAGCAGGTCCAGAGAAGAGCAACGAGGGGAGGTTTAGGTTGGCTATTAGGAAGAGATTTTTTACAGAGAGAGTTATCAGACATTAGAATGTGCTGTCCAGGGAGGTGGTGGATTCACCATCCATGGAGGTTTTCAAGCTGAGACTGGATGTGGCACTTAGTGCCATAGTCTAATAACCACGGTAGGGTTGGACTCGATGATCTTTGAGGTCTTTTTCAACCCGGTTGATTCTATGATTCTATCAAAAAAGTAATCATCCACTCTCACTCCTGACCCCTTCTGAAAGGCAGCAGTTTATACCGAGTGTCTTGTTCTGCTGTGACGCCTGCAGAGGGAGCCCAGGTTAACAAATAAATCCCCGACCCAACTCTCACACACCACATGGCACCGAGCTAACAACACAAACATTTCTGAGAAAAAATGCAGCAGAAATAAACTAATAATTTAAAGCAAAACTTAGTAATAATGGAAAAGTTTATAATAGGAAGAGTACTGATAACATGAAATAACACCTGGCAAATTCTCTTTAAATGATATCACTATTCAAGATACATTTATAGTGATGAGTAAGCTAAAAGATTAGATCAAAATAACTGACCCACCCCAGAACATCCTGAAGAGTAAATCTGTTTCTGTTGGGAAATGGCCATGCATGTGAAGTGCTTCATAAGGAGAGAGAGGCTAAAGCTCTGTCCTTTTCTCCATGATCAGGCATCTCTGACTGTCACAAAGAGCACTCCAGGCTACATCGCTAAGCTGTTTGTGGCCTGATTCTGCTCTCATTTGCACTAGTGGGCCTCTTATCACCTTCACAAGGATTTCAGGAGACCCTCAGTACACACCAAGGCATGGCTGTACCCACGAATATAGAAAAATATGCTCATACCACATGCCATAGAATCACTGGTGGCTTGGTGTACGTCACAATTAATCACAGTAAAACCTGCGTAAATATGTACGGCCTGAGATTGGGGCCAAAGGTCCAGACTCAACCTGACCCCAAAATTTGCTTATGGATAAGCCTATAAAATTAGATTTGGAGTTTCAGTTCATCACACATGGAACAGACCACAGTGTTGTGGCTTAAATAAGAACCTACCTAGATACTGTTCAGTCCTGGTTTTGATCTAGACCCAGTTATGCTCTATGAAATTCAAGCACCTGCGTCTTTCCCTTTCAGCTACCAACCACCCTCCCTCTCCTGAGCAGAAAGCTGTGCAGAGTGGTGAGGGAGACTGGATTTGCCACATGTCTGTGCACATGCCACAGGTGAAGAACACAGGTATTGTTTCCCCTACCTTTTGCAGGCAGCCAGCATAAACAATGAAACCTTTGCTATGCAGGTGCTTGGCCAAGGCAAATCCAAATCCTGAGTCACAGCCTGTTATAAGCACAGCTCTGCTGCCAATCTGCAAAACAAAACAGAACAAAATGCACTGGAATTGAGTATTTGAAATCAGTGATTTGCAGTGCACACAACAAATCATGTCCTTGGCCAGGAGCAGTCTGTTTCAGGAATGTTCTCTATACTCGTTGCCAGCTACTGCCACCCAGTGCCTCCTGAAGACAAGAAACAAAGGTTTCCTACCGAGTTCACTCCAGTGAGGCAGGATCACTGTCCTCCCAATACAAAGAGGAGTTTGGCACCTCTGGCAAGAGGCTCCCAGGGCAAACAGACCAAGCAAACCACCATTCTCTGGCAGTTCACACCCATCTTAAAATCTGAAAGTATACCAAACAGTTCCCAAGGCAGATTTCCCCTTCACCAGTAACTGCTCCTGTATGTTTAAGGCAGGAGTCCACTCTCCTGTTCCATGCAGCCCCATAAGGCATGGAAAAGACAGTTTGACTGAAGAAAGGGTACGGGTTAATCTTACTGACTGCTCACTCATATTTCTCTCTAGCACATAAATCCTCTAGCGCTGGGTTTCAAAAGCAAACCAGAATCAAGTGAAGTTAGTATTTGAAATTAAGACCAGTTGGTCATCAATCTTTTTGTTTGGTTGGGGTTTTTTTTTGTCTTCTTATTTTTCCAGCTTACAATTTAAATAGAAGTATACTTCCTTCCTTCTCCAAACTCTGCTAACCTCAAGAGAGGCAGCAGTTAAGTGACATGCTAAAAACTGCATGGTGTATCAGATATTCCAACACCAACAATCAAACACCAGCAAGATGCTGCTGTGGGTGGGATTAGGTAACAGTTACCTGCAATTCATTCCAACTCATCTCTTTTTACAAACCATAAATTTATCTTTCCCCAGCATACACAAGGACTAATCAGGGTCACACTGGAACCCCAGCAGTGATGCAAATATCATATCTGAGTTCCTCTGAGACTGTGTACTGGAGTTATGGAGCAAGCTGTGTATGCTCTAGCACTGCTACAGTGCTGAGTTCTATGTCACAAGACAAGCAAGAGGGCAAAACACTCCCATTCCTTTTGCCTGGCACTGTTCCTGGCAAGTCAGCACCTTCAAGTAGAGGGCTGTAAAAGAGGGCCACTCTCCAGATCAAGTGGTGAGGACACACTGATTTATTTACACCTCCTTTAAACAACCATGCTCCAGAAAGAATGCTTTATTAAGAATTCGCCACGCAAATTCCCTCCACTCTAAGGTGGAAGATTCATGTGCTGAGTGAGTTCCAAAAAAAGAAAAAACCCACTAGTGTGATTGTTTGTTTCCATCCTTAGCAGCATGTACCGTGCTACGTCAATGGAAGCTCTGTGCTAGGAAAGAATGTGGAGTATGTTGGAGAGGTCCAGCTTGGAGCCTTTCTGTCAAATCGGAAAGACCAATTTGGTCCCCAGGATTCAGGGACTTTAGAACCCCAGCTCAGCAGAACTAGTTCCTTGAAGCCACAGTCACACTCACCTGATCAACTTCACTTGTGTAAGAGCGGCTGCCACAGGGGGACGAGAGAGGGAAGGAAAATCTTTGCACAGGCCTGGTAAAAAAAAAACAAAACAACAGAATAATCAGGTGTGGAATATCTTGTCCTTACCCTGCTGCTGGAACATGCACATGGAAAAGAATGTAGTGTTAACTATACACATGATGTAGACTGTCATTTGAGAAGACAGAATCCAGTCTACAGTTCTCCTGAGTCTAAGCCTGTGTGTTTCCTACAGTATGAAACACTTGCTTCTCCAAAGACCTTGATGCTATTTCCAGCTGTAGAAGCTGCCTGGGTATTACGAAGAATTCTAAAATAGCTCCTGGTCTGGAGGCACAGAGCTGCTTCCACCCACAAAATGGGCAGCACATTGTTTTCACTTCCAACAGCAACAACACTCTCACTTGAGAGTTGCACAGAGTTGGGGTATGGGAAGTTATTCATTTGTCTGATGAAAGTATTCTGCTGTGGCATTGTATCCGATACCCAGCCTGAGGATGAATTTGCCTGGATCTCTCTCACAGCTTTTACACACTGCTCCATCCTTCTGTCACCCTGGATGACACTTCTTTCTCTGCAGTATGTACCCATTAGATACTCTAAGATTTTATATTCCCTCCTTACAAATGTTTAAGCTAAGAGAGACTTGTCTTTGAGTAACACCTGCTATACAGTTCTGAAGCTCCTCCAATAGTATGTCTAAAGTAAAACATGTTCACAAAGACAGACCAGAGCAAAGCAGCAATGCCTTCCAGGGAGTGAGGTTCTATCTAGAACAGCTCTGCTACCAATAGCATCACCCTGTCTTAGGTCTTGCCATCATTCATCAAAACTGGGCCTAGACAATAGACCAGGGTGACCCCAAGCTCTGTCCTTGGTCTTGCCTCATCAAAACTGGGCCTAGACAACCGACCAGGGTGACCCCAAGCTCTGTCCTTGCCAGCTACCTCCCTGGACATTGGCATACCAGAGTCTTCTAGGCTTGCTGTACTTCATCTACTCTCTGGCTCCTCTAACAGCATCTATGCTTCAGCAGAGCTTAACCTCCAGGCTGCTTTTTTGTCTTTGAAGTGAATTTGCATAACTCATCAAAACTGGGCCTAGACAACCGACCAGGGTGACCCCAAGCTCTGTCCTTGCCAGCTACCTCCCTGGACATTGGCATACCAGAGTCTTCTAGGCTTGCTGTACTTCATCTACTCTCTGGCTCCTCTAACAGCATCTATGCTTCAGCAGAGCTTAACCTCCAGGCTGCTTTTTTGTCTTTGAAGTGAATTTGCATAATCATTCACAATTATCTCCAGCTCAGAACCACAGTCACTCCTAGGGTGACCTGTGCTACACTGCACAGCAGCCTGCACACACTCAGCCTCTGAGCCACATCTTGGGGAAACAAGGCTAGAAAAAGGATCTGTGAAGGCAGAAGCTTTGAACCAGATGGGAAAGGAGCTGGTTTATATTCATGCAATGGTGTACACTCACCTTCCAGCAACAGTTTAGCTCTTTTTCTAACTTACAGTGTCACAAGCCAAATCAGCTCTTGAAATAGCTACAGCCAATTTAATTGCTGCAAAGGTCATTCCCCAGGCAAAGTGTGTGTGAACATCACTGACCTGCAAACCTGGAACTTTTACCTCAACAATAAATTTCCTGGTGTGTCTCAAAATGCCCAGAAATGTTAATAAAATTTCTTTTAGCTGCATGAATTTGATATTTTTCAGTGTCATGTCTGGTCCTGTTATTTCAGTGCAGAGCACTGATTTGCTGCACTCCATTCACAATAACCTGTATAGAGTGACTACTTGACATTCTTCCTACCTCGACCTGAAGGCAAGGGCAAAAAATAGATCCTGGCTGCTGATCAGCAAAAATAGATCCGGGCGGCTGATCAGCGGGAAAGGATGGTAAAAAACCAGCCACAAAGTGATGTTAGCCCCCACAGAGTACACTAATGTATGAGGAGCCATTTTTGCCATTCTGCATCACTGAACTGGCCACAACTGGAACTTCTAGAATACATAGATGGTCCTTAAATTGAATCTATGCTTGTAACTATGCTGTAAATTCTTTCCTGGAGTCAATAAAACCCTAATTCAT